AACAATTAGTAATTGAAATAAAAGTAACATCACTAATTACTTTAGAACATTATAAATTTTATTTAGCTCTGAGTGAGTTCATGTGTTATTCTGATAAGTGTATATCGTTGCTGTCTTAACATACGCATCTGCTATCGTAACAATTCCATTTCTACTCTGGCTGATGGACCTGGCTAAAATTATTTTGGTAATTATAGTTATATTGCTTCATATGATATTGTATCTTTTTTTAAAGCTTGGGAAAGGATAGACTGATCGCGAATGCTAATATAATATTATTTGTTTCTATCTATTTCTTTTGCTCTGATATAATTTAATGTCACAAAGTGTGCGCGTTGATAGATTATTGTTCTGCATGCTTATGCTACTATGTTAGGTCATTATTGATGGATGCTATTTTCGGTAACTCATATCAAGCAGTTTACACCATATACTGCAGAAATAATCAGAATAATATTTAAATATCCATTTACTCTTACATCAACTTGGACCGCTTTTATTGAAAGTGTGTATAATATGTACACGAGTGTGTATATGTTAAACTCATATGCAAGTAAACCACATATGTAATGGCTGCTAATTTTGATAATATCCTCGGTTGTTATTGATGGCGATAACTCATTAGAATGTTGGAAATGAAGTAGAATACATCGTAGACATAGACTGATCTATGGAAATCACATCAATTTAGTCTTTCCTAAATTTTGATACATTTTATCAAAAATACAATAATCTGTACTTGTATAATTGAGTTCTATTCAGATATTTTCCACACAAAGAATCTATAACGTGTATATAAATATTTTATACATATTGATTTTATACCTGTCGTAATAGTACTTAGATTGATAATTAGTATTCTAATTAAAAAGTATTTTCCAATTGGATAATATTTTTAACTTTGAAGTCTGACAAGGAATTTAGTTTTGTATATTATGTGTTTAGCCGTTATGTCTTTACATAATTCTCAGTTTTTATTCGTTTAGTGATATTTTGATGTGACTACTGTTACCTACATGCTGACAAACATTATTTTACAGTAGAATGCAAAATAGCAAAAACAGTAAATAAATTTTATCTAAATAGAGCCTTAATGAAATCATAGATGTTCATAGATGAAATAATGACAATTGATACTTTGACGGTAATAATTATATTAACTTTTTTCAACTAATTTTACGCAATCTTAACCAACAAAAACTTGATGATCAACGAAGTAAAATATTCCCTTTATCTTAAAATTGCACAATTTTCTACCGATTAGTTTACTTTAACTTGAATTTGATTACTGTGATTAGTTTTAAATCAGTTCCTTAACATCCATGCTATCCGATTTTCAAATCTATTAATGATATTGAGTATGTAGACTGTAATAGCATAATTAACAATTATAATTGATAGAATTTTTTCTATGAGAGAAATTCATGATGACTTTTTTATTCATTTCAGATTCTGTGTCTAACATTAACTATTTTAAATTCAACCACTACGAATGGTCAAGGTTAGTAATATTATTCTTAAGAAATGTTAAAATATTTGAAATACTATATCAAATATTCTGAAAAATATAATCAGTTTGATTATGTATGATTTCTAATTATCTCAGTGTAGTAATAGCTATTAATCTAATTAAGGAGATAACGATAATCATTATAAATATTAATGAAACAAGTTGATGACCGTGCGCGGTCTTAGGGTGGCTATAAAAATCAGCTTTTACTCATACTAATTAAAATAAATGTCAATAGTGATTGATATTTATTAACATTTCCGTGATTCTGATCATGAAATAGCATTTACTATCAAATCAATGCTAATGACCGTTTATATTCGAGAGTAATCTACTTTAGGGCTGGATTACCGGTATGTTAAAGAACGAAACAATTATACATTACATTCTGCTACGTAAGAAGACCCAATTTAAGTAATACTTAAAAGCATGTTTAAATCGATAGCAGTTAAACCTAAATTTAGATTCCGTTGAATTACTTGTAGTCATGGTAGATGATGATTGTCATATTTAAATTTAGGAGACCATTGTACATATTGTAGGACCGTATTCTGAATCCCCAATACATAGTTACAGTTCATGATCGAAAGCAGCGTATCTCCGTATATAGCCTAGTTTTTCGGTTCGCAAATTGAGCCATACCGTTTATTTATGAGATTACTTGAAGTCAAAAACAGATATCAAACTAAGTAACTACTTACATTCAATCTTAAAGATAAACAGTAGGCGAAGACTCCAACGTAAAAGGCTGTTTACAAGTGTTATACTCCTAAGATGGAACTTAGCGTTATTGTCATCTTAGATACCTTAGATTTATATCGAGAACTATTTCAGTCCAATAGATCTATAGCAATGAACATAAATGCGCTTGAGCGTAGTAGATTTTTTAGCTAATGGTCAATTTTCAATTTAACTAATAGAGGTATGTACGCCTGGATGGACAAAAATAAGTAATCGTTGTTTTAAATCATTTGAGATAAGGACAACCTACGGTATTGCCCGTAGTTCTTGTCAACAACTGTCTGGCGATTTAGCCGTTGATGATTCTGTTATAATCCATAACGCCTTGTATAACTTACTCCTAAAACATAAACCTTACTGGATTGGATTAGAAAAGCGATATGGAGATAACTTAAGCTGGGATTATCGGTGGTTGGCTACTGGTCAGAGTGTGATACATGGCCCGCAGTTTTGGGCTAACAGCAATCCAGTGGAAGGACCAGATAGATGTGTATTTATTATTAAAGTCAATCGATTTCATTCTTATTGGCGAAATAAAAATTGTAGCTATCTGCACAGGTACATATGTCAGAAGTCAGCAGAGGAAGTTTCTTTATCTTCTATACCCGTTGTTAGCATAAGTGTAGAAAGCACTGATCCTCCTACTACGGAATTAAATCCTTTATATTCGATTATTTCACAAGTTGACGTTGGAACCAGCAAGATAGATTCTTCATCGCCATCAATTACTTTATCCAGTAATACCAACATTTTTTCATCTCCTCTGCCCGTCACTAGCACAAGCGTAAAAAGCAAAGATGCTTCTGCTACGGAAGTATATGCTTTAACTTTGACTACTTCGCAAGTCAACATAGAAACCAGCGAGATAGCTTCTTTATCACTATCAATTACTTTATCTAGTAAAACTATCATTTTAGCATCTACTGTCAATAAATTAGAATCATCGATTTCTACTGATTCTAATAATAACATTATCTCTAGTTTGTATGAGGATGCAGTGATATTATCATCGCCTTCTCCTGATTTTAATGTTAACATCAGCGCAAGTACGGATAAGAATCCACTGATATCATCGGCTTCATCATTCACTTTGGCTATAGAGTCATTGACTTCTACTGATTCTAAAGTTTACATCAGCTCAAGTGCGGATGAGAATCCATTAATATCATCGGTTTCATCATCTGTCTTCATTCTTGATCATAATCTCAGAGTCGCTTTAACAGTAAATACGGCGATGAGCGACAGTGAACGTTTTACTAGCAGTAATGAACAGGCCTCATCCTCTAGTAGTTCTAGTAACAACGCACTATTAACAACTAGTGAACTATCGCTGCTAGCATCTACTACTACTGATTCTTTCTTAAGTTTAAGCATGCATGAAGATCTGTCTACTTCCATTGTCGATAAAGAGACTTTTGTTTTGGATAGCCAGAATTTATTATCCAGCTTATTGACCAACAGTAGTTTTGATAATGTTATAATGGCAACGACAGCTGTGGGATCGCAGCAGCTTCCTTCTACTACTTCAGGCCTTAACATTAATTCTACCACGTTTGAAGATTCATTAAGACCGTCCATTTTATCATCGAATTTTGTAATCAATAGTGCCTTGAGCATCACTTCAGCAACACCTACAGTTATAATCGCTGAAAAGGGCTCTGATGCCTACAATCAATTGGTAATATCTAGCTCATGGATTAATAGTAATTCTGAGGTTATTCAGCTATCAACTGCAACTAATCATCTACCGCTGACAGCTTATGTTACTCTACAATCACACATTAGCTCAAGCATAAACGAGTATTCCTTGATGGTATTAATAATAGGTAAGATTAAGTTCTGCCCTCATTTTACTAAGTACTTCAAGTACTATTGGACTTATGTTATTATCCATTTTGCTAGATGATATCATCATAAACGATGCCACTGTTACAGTAACGGACGTAAAAGACGAAGGGAACGCCACTCTTCATCAGCAGTTATCGTCGAATTCGTCGATGCAGAGCAGTTCTAGCATCACTATTGATACCCCTACGATTGCTAATAATTCGCCGTTGCTTTCTTCTAACCTTTCCGTCTCCGATCCTAGCTTATATAATACGAAAGAAAATTTATTATCATCACTATCAGGTACGATATTGTATTATGATTTACATCTAGCTCTAGCTCCAAACTTGATGCAATCTATGAACCACCGTATCATAGCAAATTCTTTAGACGAGGTTTATGGCTATATATCCACAGTGAGGTGCATAGTATCATATGCTATAACGAAAGCTACACCAATGAGCGATATTAGTTATGCTAAGTCAAACTGGAGTATGGAAACTACAGTAGTATAGATCAATGAATGATAATTATGAACCACATCAAAGAAAGTAGTGATTAGATCATAGCTGATTGCAATCTCCATTCTTATTTATTCTCGATCTGCAGTAAATCGTAAACACAATTATTTATGAATTACTCTTCAATAATTCAGATTAAATTTAGTTATAAATTGCAATTTTTTACAGCGATGATCATATACTAATAGTTCATATTTATGATCACTTGTTTTCATTAACACTATTTGACAGAGATTTGCTTTAAGTTTAATTGATAAACTTAGAATTCGTATTATGAACTATGTTTTTAATCATTGATACTATCCTACTGATAGCTTCGATAGAGCAATATTATTATAAACTTTGGCAGCTGCAGTCTTAACTTAATACTTTATAACACAGCATCTTATCGAATTTCACCTACTGTACTATTATCTCTTATTAGTCAAAATGCATAACCATTTTTCAAGTAGAAAATCGATTAAACAGTTCGATTTTAATAGAGTTTGATGGGTTAATCTCTGATTTAATTATTTTCATATCCTGAAATATTATAATCTATGATAAAATCCGATCATGAAAATTCAATATTTGTAGAAAATTAGAACTTTATTAGATCTAATAAAAAGATTAGCTACACACAGCTTTACTCTAGCCGAATAGAACTACTGAAAAACTTCCAGAAAGAACAATCAGATAATCTACTGTCGCCTGCTTTTATGCTCTCCGTAAACTTCGCAGCTACAATCAGCATAGCAACATTTTACCTCATTTTACACATTATCAAATTATTATTTGTAACACTATTTTTACAGTGGGCCATCATTAATCCAATATGGAAACGATAGTATTTGCGTAGACATTATTCCTACTACTCAAAGTACAATGAAACATATCCTAATATATGATTTACATTTCTATTTTTACATCTAACCTTATTAATAGCTCAATATTCTACTGTATATAGTCGCCTGTTTTTTAGCATAGAGTTTACCATCGCAGTCTATAATTATGGGCTACTAAATATATAATAAGATAAATATAGAAACGACACTACCCTACATCGTACTAAATATGGTTAATGGTCTATAATCACAGTATTACGTTATTTTACATAATCATAATTGTTTTATATAATGAGTGCAGTATCTTCTATCCAATTTAAAAATGTAGGGTCCAGTCTAATCTAGCTTTTAAAAAGTATTATTTTCATGCTATTATTCCGTCTGGATATCACAAATATCATACTTTCACCATGAATAGCAGCCTAGGAATAGAACTTAACATTCCAATTTTATATTTAGGCAGAAAGAATACTTATTGTTGTACCTTTAACAACCTGAATATTATTAATATAATTCTTTGTTCTAATTGTAATATCATTTCATGCACACTAATTCTAATATCCATCATGTAGATCATGGAATGACCGGTGATTATAATACCTGTATAACTTGTAATAATCGCCCCAGCTTTACAACTATGGACATATTTCAGCATCCTAGAACCCTTTCAGTGACGACAATACCACCATTAGAATATTCTACCAGTTCTTCTCCAGGTATATTGCAACTTGTAGAGAAATTTATTTCGGAGTAAAATAGTTTCTTTTATTGCTACTTCTTATAAAGGTTAAGAAACTTTCTCATTTAATATGAATAAATAAATAATCAACTGCTTTCTATTGCTAACAGCTTCCTGTGTTTAATTTGAGTTATTTCTAACGTATGGCTATCAATTTCCTAAGATACCATCACTTACTACCGTTACTAATATTTGCAGTCTCCGCAAACATCACTCTGAATCAGTCGTCGTCAGCGGATAATGAAAGCTACATAGCCAATCATGTCAAGGCTAGTAAAATGGTTATTGATGGGCAAATTTAATATGCTTATATCGTGAGAAGAAATATCATATCAAAATCGTCAGAACTTAGACTCATGATAAATTGACGCTCAAGATTTAATGAAAAAACTGCTGTGTTGAATAATGAGCTTTTATTGATCAGATTTGTAATAATCTCCATAGGGTTGAAATTGAAAAATTTTTAAATAATGACTTATTTGCTTGTCATGCAGATTGATGAGATACAAGAAACTAACAGTCAACTTATAGTAAATATAACTGATACCGTGGATAAGGTAATGTAACTTTTATGCGTAAGAAATAATAACGTGCTTCATAATTTTTACAAGAGAAGTTTTCAAATCAATCTTTGAAACTAAATCTTAATTATTACTTAAAATATCGATTTTGCTATAATACAAAAGAATAAAATGATCATATTGGATTTTCCTAGAGATCAAGACATCAAATTAGAGATGTGATATATTTAACCAAGATTTATCGGTTTTATTCTGTAGAATCCTGGCTTAATTCTTACGCAGATCGATAAATTTGACACGAATTTAGCTAAAAAAATTAATCAAGCTAATATTACTACACAGTTTAGGATGTCAACGCCACAGTCAGGTATTCATTTAGCTCATACAAATATATCACCAAAGCTATCGCATCATTACTAATATACGAGTACAGTATAAATAATATCAGCTTCTTCCTTCAGATTGTCGCTATCTCTTACTATTATACCTATGTAATTAAGCTGACATTAATCAGTAACTTATATATGTATTCCAATGCTGATATCTATATACGCTGAATCTACACTTACTGATTTAAAGTATTTTAATTTAAAGGCTGTTCTAACTTTAGCTGCATTGCTTACTAAATGATTTCTTATTGTATTGTACATCGTTCTTCCATCTATTGATGCCCATATTATGATCGAACATGCCAGAATTGGTAGCCCAAACGATTAAGGCGTCGAATACGAAGTCAACCATTAATCTAGTGCTATCGTCATCCAACAAGTCCGTAGCAGAAGTGAGGATTCCTAAATCAGCATTTCAATTCTCTGATCAAGGTGACGAATATTTCTGGCTTTATTTTATTATTGTAATTTTATCGCACCCCTGCTGAATAGAAATCGATAGTAAAATCGTGAATTGTCTTCATTTCGATAATATTTGTGGCTCACCTTTTTTATAAGATATCAGCAATAATACCGTTCAAATTATTAATTTTACAAAAATTTTTAGATCACACTGTAACTGTGGTAGTGCGAACTTATAATGTCAAAAGGAATTGGGCAGAAAATAACGCTAATGGCAATAACAGGTACACTTTAGATACGGACATACAATGTATATATACACGTAAATTGATTATATATACATATTAAGTTTCCATTCTTTCATTTTGATAGAAGTGATATGATTTCATACTAACAGAATTCCAAAAAAATTCTTTAGCATCATTATTTCCAGCATTTTGTCTTGCTCTGTGTACCCACCACAAGACAAAAATTTTACAGTGCCTGTCCATCTTCACTTTAAAATTCAATATGGACAGGTCAGATAAAGTTAACATTACGGTTTTATTAATTATTTCAAAGATCATTTAAAAGTTTGCACAATTGTAATCTTTTTCCATTAGACTTATCCACCCTATCGATGTGCATATTGGGAGCAATTGTAAGATAAATAATACAAATAACTTAAATGTTCTACTATAATATAGACCTTAAGTGATCAGTGAATTGCGAAATTATCGCAATTTATTAGCTAATCGAAATAGATAGCATAACTTGATTTATAATGACTAGAAAATTCATTCTTCTTTCGAATTAAGTGAATTAGACATTAACTTATGATCGGATCATAATTTGATTTACTAATACCCGCACTTTTCGACTTTGTCCTTAATTATAAATTTATTAAAGTGGATGGTCAGAATACGGAATTCAATTATTGGGCTATAATTCGACCAGAGTTCATTGTGCAACATCTCATTTCACCAGTTTTGCAGTTATTATGCAAAGTTCAAAGGCAATCAAAAATTTTGTTGATTTATGTTCATATTTAAGACGAAGTTATTATGGAATAATTTAGACATTAATACGTGTACATTCACCCATGGTCAACTTCGACATTATATATTGAAGTTACTGATTATATTTTGAATTTAGGCGCTTACTGGGCCTCACGACGCTAACCTCCGTTATATAACTTATGCCGGATACTCTGCCTCGCTATTTGCCTTATTGGTTATGATAACAATATTAATTAGCAGCAAGTTAGTAAGATGACTTCTTGTTAAAGCTTGATAATAATACTGTTTAATATTGATGTAAAGTCTTGTATTGTCAGATCCAAAAGTGGTTTCTTAATTAATACTATACACCTTGCTAATTAATTACTAACGAGGTCAGGATCTAGAGCTTATAGAGCTTTTATTTGTCTAAAGTTAATAGTTCGAAGCGTGTACTTAATAGCTTGGAGTGTAGGTCTTGAATTCCTTACGATTAGCTTAGTTCAATGTATTAGCCTGTACTTATTGAGCGAGGCAACATGACTTGAGTAAAATTATACTATAGATATATTTGTACTTAGTTGAAACCTACATTTCATTGTAGCATTTGAAATAATGTAAGACTTCTTGTTCTTAAAGCAATGTTAAGTTTTTAAAATTTATACGATTTCTCGATCTATTATATCATTCTTGCTTTAAATTTCAATCAGCAAGGTATATCTAACATTTTTATGTAGGAAATTTTACACAGTAAAGCACTTTATTCACCTTAATTTGGCTGTTGCTATGGTAGTTTCGATTATTGGATTCTTAGCTGGCATACATGCAACGCAACTGCCGGTAATTAATCCTGAATTAGTATTATAAGACACCAATAGTTTATGGTAGAAATTCTAATACACCATTTTAATTGGTATATTCGGTGATCTACTTTGTGCCGCACGAATAATTGTGTCAATATGTATAGAAATGTCAACTTGTACTAGATTGCTAAAAATCTACTTGAATGGGTGTTTTACTAGTCTTTATGATAAATTTAAGTTGCTTTCATGATGATATTTTATTTAACAAATACCACTTCTCTTGATGTATATTACATTACAGTATCGAAAAATTGTCAGTATAACTTCTCGAAATCCATTACTATGAGTGAAATAAAATTAAATTCTTTTAAATTGTAGCTTCTTTGTACTATTATCGCTGTTGGATTGCATTTTTTCTATTTGGCAAGCTTAACATGGATGATGATGGAGGCCTTACTACTTTTGCAAAAAATCTCATCGATGCGGAAAACTATTGACCTAAAAATTAGGCGGTTATATTTTATTGCAGGATGGTGTAAGTATAAAATACATTGACTAATTTACTGTAATTAAAATTTTAATCCTTACTATCATTCATGAATAGTTAATAAGTCATTTTTAATAGCTATCATTAGAAAGTATACGTACAGGTAATCCATGCAACCTTCATCATATTTAATCTGTTCTCTGGCGCTATTTTTTCAAATTTTCTTTAAATGATCCCAAATTAGTGCCTCCTGCAGTAATAGTCGCAGTGGCCACGTGCACTGGGATAGACGCATACCGCAATTCAAATAAGTAAGTTTTAAATACGAATACCAGACGTGGTGGTTATGCAGGTCTCGATTTAGTTAACTAGTCATTAATGTCAATTATTATTTTAATAGCTGTTGGATTAAAAATGCAAGCCCTCAAATGTGGTTCTTTGTTGGTCCAATTATTTTAATTGTTGTGGTAAGATACTGTAGTTTGATAGGTACTATAATAATAATTAAAAAATCGTAAGTTATATATAATATATTATATAGCAATATATTGAACTTAATCAACATGCATTAGTCTTTTCCAGTATAACTACTGCATTTATGCGTGTTAATCCATCAATCTTTCATAGAGAATGTGTTTTTTCTAAGAATTGTGATTTCTTAATTATGCTAGCGCAAAGATAGTCAATAGGCTAAATTTTGTATTTACTCGATTCTGTATTGCAAGAGATAAACGTGAGTTTATATTAGCACTCCTGTTAATTTGGCGATATTTTAAAATCTTTCATAACGAAAATTTTTAGAGTAACATTGCCATTACAATTACGGCTGTAAAAGCGCTCTTCTCGATTACAGTTATGGTCCAAAAATCTGAAATTCAAAAATTCAAGTATAACGGAATTACGATCCAGTTTAAAACTATAACATCCATAGAAATATCATATTGCTTCATTAAAACTATTCTACTTAATTTGTAGTAGATATAATAAAATAACTCCCTCTTTCTGCAGTTTTATCATATTTATGAAATTCAAGGCAATTTACTAGTAGTAAAGCGATATTTAGTAACATGATGATTTAATCGAAATATATCCATTCTTCTTCATAGAGTTGGAATTAGAGCTGTGACTTCGCTAATCTTTCTCTTTGGTGTATCTTGGTTATTTGGTATCCTATATTATGCTACAGATAATATCGCTTTTGCTTACTTATTTACAGTTTTGAATTGCCCACAGGTAAATTATCGTTTATCAGCGGCAGCTTGTTAAGTTTAATTTCACTGCAAGTTTTTCTATCCATAAAGACTGTTTGGTTGTATCATAATCATCTGATGCTAATGATAATATATTGACTTACCGATATTCTGATATGAAGGGGCTTTTAATCTTTTACTTTCATTGCTTTCGAGATCATGATGTAAGTTTTGATATTGATTTTAGAACTGATATTTTACGGATAACATATATGTACTAAGCTTCAAAATTATTCTCTAAAATACCGGAGTATATGTCAGGTGTAATCATATATAATCTTGCATCTGCTATAGCAATAGATTGGAAACGGCAATACTAATTTATATCGCATCTAATTTGATTACCCTTAGGTGCAAGAGTACTTTCAGAAAAGAACTAAATTTGGTACAATGATATTTCCAATGCAATCCATGAGAGATACTAGCGGGGAAACGCGAGTACGATTTACAATTCACGTATAACGTCTTTTGATAGATAGTTGAAGATATAATTACATTCTGCAATAAAATAGGATAGTTAAAATAATTGATATTTTATATTGACTTATAATAACTGAAAATAAAAGTCAGCATCAATTTACCATTTGGCTCTGTGTAAATTTTCATTTTATATGATTTTAATATATTTATTTATTCCGTTATTTTTTTATTATAGAGTGAAGATACGCGTGCTAGTCGTAACGTTAAAATTCCATTATTACCACTTTCTACGGATAATATTTCATGCAACTCTGTAGATATTCGACGAGATTCTAAAAGTTTGAATAAGATACAAGGTAATCAACTTCAGCCACACTCGTGCGTTTATGAAGGGCTGTTGATATTTAAAGTTAGTTGCCTTACTCAAATTTCAGCGATTGCTGCCATCGTATAATTACGACTCATTTCCGATAAATGTCTTCCAAGTATTTTACATTAGTAACCCTATAATTTTCGATTACTCGTTCTAATTCAACAAAATTTATTTTCATCCTCGATCGAACTAACACATGAACTAGAAATGTGTTCATCATACAGGTTAGTTAAAGTGGCAAATTGCTTCATAAAATCGTAATTTATTGCATATACTGATGTTCTCTTGTACTACATGACTAGGTTAAATAATTCTCGCTAAAAGTTATCGTCGTTTATTATGTTTGGATTGCTATTGATAAAAACGCCTTCAAATTTTTCTTGTAATACATTTAACTTTGTCGATTATGACTTAAACATTTTAAAAATAGTGTTACCACCATGGCCTCGGTTTGCGATCATTCTGGCATTTGGACTAACCGTAAAAAAAGTGGTTTTAATTAACAATAAATACGGAAATTCTGATATCTACCTTCTTTATAAAATGTTAATTTCAAATAGAAAGATTTATCTTCAGTATCATTTGCTGAATTACTATTTAATGTTGTAAGAAAATGTATTATATACGATGTACTTGTTTTATTCATTGTAGTACTGTACAAGAGATATGAGTTATAGTCTTACCTATCATAAATAAAATTAAAATGAGTTCATAACTTGTATGTTTTTTGAGTCACATAAGAATAGAAATATTTTCCACTGCTGTCAATCGGGGTCGATCAATACACTACTACTTCCTTCGCCTAAGAGCTCGTTGTTGTATTAGCTCATCATTCAGCTTGCAGTACTAGCTTTGATCAGTATCGTATGTTGTAAATATCAGATTTCATTTTGACTACATTAGCTATATTCTAACTAATAGTAAAAATTCTTCCTATCATATACAAATATAATACTGTATTGATAGTCAAATAATTAATCGATAATTTTGACGAATAACTCGAATTCATACATTGAAACAACAACATGCTTTGTATAGAAAGTATCGCACAATTTATCTTCCATTTCAATAGTTTACATTATTATTTACATAAAATATCGCTGGAATGATCTCGATACTCGAATCTGTTACGATTGTAGCTAGAATCATTCTACGGTCCTAGTAACGATAAGACCTATAGCAAATACATTTTCAGTTAAAATAGCTAGTAGTAGTGATAGATTAATTTATCATTTCAGAACTCCTGTTATTAGCTCTTTGTTAGGCCGCTATCAAATAGACAGTAAGAATAGTTGGTAATTGTCGCTTTTTTAGTTCTAACTCAAAGAAATTAAGCTATGTGTAGATTCTAGCATTATCGAATTTGATAAACTCTGGAGTCATTCGCCTTACTAGCTTTTTAAATTAAAAAATTATAGATATTTCACGGTATAATCATTGAAATATCGATCCTTGAATTAATAATACGAGTACTTTGATAAGAATACGATATTGCTTACTCTTATTTGTTACGGCTATAGCTAACGTATATCATACTCGTAAAGTTATTGTGACCATCTGATATACTCTCGAATTTTCGTGCATATTAGAAGTGCTAATATTCCTGCAACATTAAGGTTTATAGTTACAGTGGATATCGATTCTTAATTCCTTTTTTTAATTACTGAGCTGTGTATGCAGATTACGGACATAAGTAGACACGTACGGTATGCACTAAATTATAAATATTAAAATAGAATTTTCGAATTTATACTACATGAATGAGTGCTTAATATATTATGCAATTTTTAGATCTGGTTAGTCTTAAAAATATCGAATGAAGTTACTACTTCGTACAAAAAATGCAGCAATTCCAGGATATGTAGGACCAAGTTTACAATGATCTTGTGGTAGTTTATTATAACTCAAGCAGCTACTCTACATAAAAATCCAAGTATAGCATTAAAGCAATAACGTTAATAAGATTTAGGAGTGGTACAGCAAGTCAAAATCTAGTCGACCCTTGTACAATAGGATAACAGCAATGAATTATGTAAATGGAATAACTCCAAACTTTATTAAATGTGGAAATACTAACAAATAATAGCCTAAAATTTAATGCATTACAGTAGTTACATAGATTGTAAAATTTAATTATTTGTGTTAATAGTATCTTTTCGTAAACTTGATAACAGACTAATTGAATATTATAAGGTAATCCTGGAAAGATAAAGGAAGCTTCTATTAAATTTACCACCAAATCGCATAATTATCAATTCACTATCTGTTATTCCTAAAGTAATTGTCTTACGTATATTGATTTTTAAATCTCAGGGTAGATGGAACTTATACACGCTGTTTTACTAAATTCAGTTTAAGATAAAAGAATGCCGAGAATAAGGATATGATTATCATAGTCTGCTTACATCAAATCTAATAATATGTAAACACAGCAGACCTACAAATAACAATACTTTCTTAGACAATTTTCAAGTAAGAGATAAGTGACTATTTGCACCTGAAACTGTCTATTAGAAGTGTTACGAATTCAACAAATGTTTGCCATGAAAGTGTAAGTATAGTTAATTAATAGCAGTAATACAGAGGCAAGCCTGAATTTCCGCGGCTGTTGCTGTTAATAGACTCTCCTAATCGAAGCTTGCATCAAGCTTCGATGTAAATGTAAATGTCAAATGTAAAGTCATGTAAACGTTAATGTATATGTAAATGTTAACATAAAGGCAGAACATATTTAGCAAATAGCTTGCTGACAAATAGCTTGTTGACAAAATAAATTCTTCCTGTAGGTTGTTTAACTTACGAATACAGTTTATTTTAGTTGTAATACTATTTGTAAAGTTCACTGGAGTAAGCTTGATAAGTGACAAATTAACAGCAACCGCCACTTTGTGGTGGACGATCTGGAACAGATGTACTTGGGTTAGATGGATTCTGAGGTCCCAGTTTAATGCCATTTGCCTGAGTAATAATAACCACGCTAGTATAAGAGTTTCTAATTTACTAATACCCATAAAAAATGTGATAAAATATGCTTGTTATTAAAATACCTCATTGTTAATGTCGAACGCTCCATCTTGAATTTTTTGATAAATTTCTTTGGCTGTATTAATGAATGCCTGTAGAAATATGGCAGTTTATAAGTGCTCAAACATTGCCAAAAGTATTGTGCTGTATATTAGAGAAAGTGGCGAGAAATATATTCACTGTAACTACCTCTTCTACGTTAGCGGCTGTCTTTGCAGATGTTTCCATAAAGATTAAACCGTGTTCGCGTGCAAATGCTTCGCCCTAGATAAAATTTTGATATACAAGAATAATCTTAAGATATAGTGCAGAATTTTTCAGCGAGAAAGATTTTCAGTAATATAAGCGAGATGGGTAAATAACAGGTAAATACACTTAATTCTAGATTTATAGTAATCTAACATTTCTGTCTAATTATTTTTTAAATGAGTGTAAATAATGAGATAATTATTATATTTTGAGAAACACTTACTTCTTCTTTTTTGACGTCTCGGCGACTTTCCAAATCACTATTTAATAATAATAAATAGTAAAATCATAAACTTTAATAAAGCATAGTCATAGTAGGTTCACATATATCTTGCATATTCACTGTTATAGACGAATGACATAAGATTATTTCGATATTATAAGTCTGCAATAAAAATACTTTAGATATGATTGTACTGATATGCATACCTTTTATTGCCGATCAGCATTATGACCATATTGGAATTAGAATGTTGTCGAGCATCTTCTAACCAAGTTGTTAAATGGTTAAATGTTTCTCTCCTAAAATGATACGAATAATCATGTGTCAAAATAATAAAATTAAAGGTGGACTATTCAGATTATTTCTTCAAAAAAATAACTGTAAATAACCTACAGAATAAGGTAATGCGTGTAATTTTAAAGTATCAGTATTTCTAGTTTATGTACGGTTGATGCGGATAATATAATTACCTTGTGATATCGTAGACTAGTAGAGCACCAGCTGCACCCCGGTAATAAGATCTTGTAATCGAACGGAATGATTCCTGTCCAGCCTAACAATAGAACAATTTATAGAACGTAAACATGATATACCACTTCATGGTATGATACCAATATAGGAAAATTAATCAATCATACTACTACAGTGTAATTTATGCATATTCCACCGTACTACTACGCTATGGTATGCATGAATGGTTGGAAGGGTAGGATCTGTCCCCTATCACAAAATAGTGATCACCTACGCAATTAACTTACATGGTTTTCATCTTTTAAATGACAGAGTTGCACAGACATCAATATAAGTGATGTTGAAAGATTGTGATGATACAGATACAGTGTAAATAGACAAATGAAATCGAGCTATCCACTGTATAGTATAGAGTACAATCTATGGATGCTTTAAATCTCATTTTCATAACAAAAGAAATTCAGGTGTCTCTAAATTAGTATATACTGTACATAGCAATATGATGAAAAATCGGGGTACAGACAAAGAAGTTTAGGGTTTCTTAGTAACTTGCACGAAATAAAGAAAAAGTATACATTTCTAGAACGAGAAATCTTATATAACCTACAATTATATCAACAATCCGTTTGGAGTTTTGTAAAAATAAAATTAAAAATTGAAAGAACCGACATAATAAAACGAACTAATGAGCCGACCATTTTTAGTGTAATAATACTCTACCTAATAATTAGTCCGCTTTATTACGATATAAGAGTA